GGGCGGGGCGTGGAGGGGCGCGGGCGTGGACGGAGGGCGCGGGGTAGGGGTTGGGGGCGTGGAGGAGCGCGGACATAAAGGGCGGGGCTTGGAGGGGCGCGGGTAGCGCATGCCCGCCCACCCCGCTGATGCCGCCTCTCTGTCCGGGGGCCGGGCGGGGCGGGGCGTGGAGTGGAGGGGCCTGCAGCGGCGGGGCGGGGCGTGGAGGGGCGCGGACACGAAGGTTGGGGCGTGGAGGGGCGCGGACACGAAGGGCTGGGGGCCGGGCGGGGCGTGGAGGGGCGTGGTGGGGCGTGGAGGGGCGCGGGCACAAAGGGCGGGGCGTGGAGGGGCGCGGGTAGCGCATGCGCGCCACTCCGCTGGTGCTGCCACTCTGTCTGGGGGCCGGGCGGGGGGTGGCGTGGAGGGGCGTGGAGTGGCGGGGCGGGGCTTGGAGGGCGTGGACACGAAGGGCGTGGCGTGGAGGGGCGCGGGTAGCGCATGCGCGCCGACCCCGCTGATGCTGCCACTCTCTCTGGGGGCCTGACGGGGCGGGGCGTGGAGGGGCGTGGAGTGGCGGGGCGGGGCTTAGAGGGGCGCGGACGCAGAGGGCGCGGCGTGGAGGGGCGCGGGTAGCGCATGCGCGCCCTCACCGCTGGTGTTGCCTCTCTGTCTGGGGGCCGGGCGGGGCGTGTAGGGGCGCGGACACGAAGGGCGGGGCGTGGAGGGGCGGGGCGGGGCGTGGAGGGGCGGGGCGGGGCGGGGCGCGGACACGAAGGATGCGGCGTGAAGGGGCGCGGGTAGCGCATGCCCGCTCACCCCGCTGATGCTGCCTCTCTGTCTGGGGGCCGGGCGGGGCGGGACGTGGAGGGCCGTGGACACGAAGGCCTGGGGGGCCGGGCGGGGCGTGGAGGGGCGCGGACACAAAGGGCGGGCCGTGGAGAGGCGCCGGTAGCGCATGCGCGCAACTCCGCTGGTGCTGCCTCTCTGTCTGGGGGCCGGGCGTGGCGTGGCGTGGGGGGGCGTGGAGGTGCGGGGCGGGGCTTGGAGGGGCGTGGACACGAAGGGCGTGGCGTGGAGGGGCGCGGGTAGCGCATGCGCGCCGACCCCGCTGATGCTGCCGCTCTGTCTGGGGGCCTGGCGGGGCGGGGCGTGGAGGGGCGTGGAGTGGCGGGGCGGGGCTTGGAGGGGCGCGGACAAAAAGGGCGGGGCGTGGACGGGCGCGGGTAGCGCATGCGCGCCCACACCGCTGGTGTTGCCTCTCTGTCTGGGGGCCGGGCGGGGCGTGGAGGGGCGCGGATACGAAGGGCGGGGCGTGGAGGGGCGCGGGTAGCGCATGCGCGCCAACCCCGCTGATGCTGCCTCTCTGTCTGGGGCCGGGCGGGGCGGGGCGTGGAGGGGCGTGGACACAAAGGGCGGGGCGTGGAGGGCCGTACAGGGGCAGGGCCGGGCGTGGAGGGGCGGGGCGGGGGGGGGGCGGGGCGGGCGTGGAGGGGCGCGGACACGAAGGGCGGGGCGTGGAGGGGCGCGGGTAGCGCATGCGCGCCCACCCCGCTGATGCCGCCTCTCTGTCTGGGGGCGGGGCGGGGCGTGGAGGGGCGCGGACACGAAGGGCGGGGCGTGGAGGGGCGCGGGCACAAAGGGCGGGGCGTGGAGGGGCGTACAGGGGCGGGGCCGGGCGTGGAGGGGCGGGGTTGGTGTGGAGGGGCGCGGACACGAAGGGCGGGGCGTGGGGGGCGCGGGTAGTGCATGCGCACCGACCCCGCTGCTGCCGCCTCTCTGTCCACTCAGGGAACGCGGCGCCCTGATACCTGGAGCCTGGACCTGCGGCCGCTGCCGCCTTTGCAGGTGTGTCTCCCACAGAACCGTTTCAACATGCCTGATTCTTATGCTTCCTGACTTCTTCCTGCCTTCCTCAATGGTATACCCAAGGAAATCCCAACATTTGGCCCTTATTGACCCAATATAGCATCCAGAATATCAACACCATGTGCAAGTGGTCAGGGTCGTCCTTTAAATACCAACTCTTAACTGAGCATATTCCTATCAATGAATTCAGTCCAATCCATATCTTGATTTTGTCCCTTTGGTCTACCACTCTCACAACATATTCCAGCCCTGCCACTCAGGCTTTGGCCAACACAGAAGGGCTAGGTTCTCTAAGCTGTCAGTGTATCATCTCTCCTTCAGGAAAGGCCTCGGAACTTTCTAAATGGCTAATTTTCAAAATTTGTTCTTTTCTTTTCTTTTTTTTTTTTTTGAGAGAGATAGAGAGTGACCATGAGCGGGGGCATGGGGGAAGGGTGGGGTGGGCGAGAATCCCAAGTAGGCTCCATGCTCAGCATGGAACCCAATGCAAGGCTCAATCTCACAAGCCTAAGTTCGTGATATGAGCCAAAATCAAGAGTCAGACACTCAACCAACTGAGCCACTCAGTCACCCACAGAATTTATCTTTAGATCAACTTCTATTATGAGCTCCTATCAATACAGAGCAATGAAGTCAAGCAATTCTTTCATCCTGTAGAAAAACTTCTCCCTGAGGAAAGAGTGACTGTACAGGGACCCACAGAAATTACACATCAAGCTAATCATGGACTATAAAACAAGGGGGAAAATCATTTTAGGGTGATGGATACATGTACATCACCTTCATTACAGTGATTGTTTTACTGGTATATACATATATCAAGAGTCTTGAAATTATACACTTAGATCTATGGAAGTTTCAGTTACATAATTATACTTCAAAAGGCTATAAAAATATCCAAAGACTCACACACCTAGGAAGGTAAATACTCTGTACTTATTGATCTGAAATAGTTACGGAAATTGACAACTCATCTCAAAAAACCCAACCACATCATAATGAGGAATTCTGGTAGGTCAGAAGAATGGAAGGGAATAGAATAAATTCACTAAGGTACTTGAACTATAGGAAGCTAGAAGGTAATATATTGATGTCCTATATGCTCTCCAATTTCCCTCTTGACATACACTTTCCTTCTTAAAAATTTTATCTATTTCTTTGAGAGAAAGAGAACGGGAGCACACATAGAGGCAGGGGCGAGAGGGGCAGAGGGAGAGGCAGAAACAGACTCCCTGCTGAGCCCGATGTGGGGCTCCATCCCAGCACCCTGAAGTCATGACCTGACCTGAAGGCAGCCGCCCAACTGACTGAGCCAACCAGGTGCCCTAATATTCCCTTTTTTGTTGTTAGTTTCTACCTTCTTACCTATTTTATCCACTTCTTGCCCCTCACCTTGGCAAATCATGTATATGTTCTCTGTATCTATGAGTGAGAGTTACTGTGTTTTTTGTTTTCTGGTTTGCTTTAGATTCCACATATATGTGAACTCGTGGTATTTGTCTTTCTCTTTCTGATTTATTTCACTTAGTACGTCCCCTTGGCTGTTATGAATTATGTGGCAATGAATGCAGGTGCGCACGTATCTTTATGAGTTAGCGATTTCACTTTCCTTGATTTTAACACCTAGGAGGGGAATTGTTGGATGATATGGTTATCCTATTTTGAAATTAGTTTCCCTGAAGTAATCTGTATCCCCAACGTGAGTCTCGAACTCACGACCCGCAATCAAGAGTGACACACTCTTCTGACTGAGCCAGCCAGGAGCCCCTCACATTGAATTTTTTGAGAAAACTTGATACCATTTTCCATAGTGGCTGCACCCATGGACAATCCCAACAACAGAGCTTTCCTCCACATTTTGGTCGACCCGTGTTATTTCTGGTCTTTTTACCACTAGCATTTCTGACGGGTGTCAGGTGCCATCTCTTTGGGTTTTGATTTGCATTTCCCTGGTGACACATGGTGTTGAACCTCTCTTTATGTATTTGTTCGCCATCTGCGTGTTTTCTTTGGAAAAATGTCTATTCTGAACTCTGCCAATTTTGTAACTTCTATTTGTTTTTGTGTTATTGAGTTGTATGAGTCTCTAATAATTTGGATATTAAGCCTTTATCAGTTAGGCAGTTTGGAAATATTTTCTCCCATTCAGTATGTTGTCTTTTCACTGCATTGATAATCAGTGACCCTCACCAGTGTCTGCAGTTGGCCCTGCCTGTTCTTCTAGGTCACAGTGCCCTACATGCTGAAAGGAGACCCCGACTACAAAACACATTCTTCTTTAGCCTGGCCATAACCCACATCCGGGTCAGAGCACCTCGAAAACCTGTCACCTGCTGCTCTACCTGGCCAAGAATCAGCCCCTCCCCTCACCCCCATGGGCGCGGCTGCAACCCTCTCACGACCTTCAACACCCCTCAAAAGGCCCAGCCTGACAGAAACTCGGGGCTCACATGTCTCTTGGTGTCTGGCCCCTCTCTTCCCGGGGAGAGTGAACCCACTCTGTCCTGCTTGTGGCTCTACTCTTTGTGAAATTCCTTTTTTAAAATTTATTCTTATTTTTTTTTAATTGTTTTAAAAAATATTTTATTTTTTTATTTGACAGAGAGTGAGATAGTGAGAGCAGGAATACAAGCAGGGGGAGTGGGAGAGGGGGAAGGAGGCTTCCCCCTGAGGAGGGAGCCCGAAGCGGGGCTCCATCCCAGGACCCTGGGATCATGACCTGAGCCAAAGGCAGACACTTAATGAATCAGCCACCCAGGTGCCCCTCTTTGTGCAATTCTTTGCCGCCCGCGGGACCGGCCACCCTGACCCTAACATCAGAATACATTACATCTTCCAAAATTAGAGAAAAATGATACTGGTCGTTAAGTCTGTTTAGAGTTTATTCTTTTCTCTTAATCCCCACTTGATCCCTACCGGGGTCTTCATGAATTCCTGCATAAGCATCCAAGAGCTTCCCCAGGGTCTGGCCTTTCTATGCCATAGTTCCTCCTGCATCACCTGGCTCCACCCACGGCTCCTCCTCCTGCCCTCCACCCCTCCTAAGGACCCTGGTGGTCCTGCTTGTCATTCCCACAAGACCTCCCTCCCTCTAGCAGGCAGTGCTCTCAACACTGCCCCCCAGAGCCCACGTCCTGTAACTTTGCCCTGTAACTGCCCCGTGGGGGTAAATCAATACTTCCTACTCTAGAAAGCCCTGCCTTACCTGCAGAACTGGGGCAGTGACTTTCCACCCAGTCTTTTCCACTGTGCCCACGCAGAAGCCCTGAGCCCCCAGCAGGGGTCCGCAGCGCACTGTCATGGTTGCGAGGGGTAGCTCAGCTTTCACCGCCTGGGCCAAGGCTGTGAGGCACACTGTCCAAGCCCTCAACTCTTGAAACTTCAATTTTCTCACCTACAAAATGGAGAAATCAATGTCTATGTCATAAGAATGGATGCCACTAAAATAGAACAATCTGTGTGACTCAGTGAGAATAGTATGCCTGGTCCACATTAAACAATAAAATAAAGAAACTTGAATCAAACCAGAGTGTAGATCAGATGAGCCTGGGTTCAAGCCTCCACACAGCCAATAGTCACACATCCGCAGGCCAGTTTCTGAACTTCGCACGTCTCAATTTCCTCACTGAAAAATGGGTGGAGGTGTGATAATCCACTTATTCCTCTATTCATAAGAACACCACCAGATTGTGTGGTACCATACATCAGGCCCTGGGCCACAAGGTAGGAATGCAAGGACAAGAAAGGAGCACTCCCAGCCCTGGGGGCACAGAGCCACCTAGAACACAGACCGCAGAATCACAGCCTGGCTAAACACTGGAGTCCCCTGAGCAGCATAAACAATCCTGATGCTGGGCTCTGCCCAGGGATTCTGAGCAGGAGGCCTTGAGGTGTGGCTTTAGGAGGGATTCAGAGCTTCCCCTCAGACCCCAACAGGCAGTACACATTGAAAACTACTGCTTTTGCACTCTCAGAGAATTCCTTTACACCTGATTTGTTGCAGAACATTTCCCCCAGAGCTTGTTTGAAGTACTCAGGACACAGAGGTGGGGTGGTCTTCAGTCCTGGGACAGGGTGTCCCACTTCCCACACACCTTGTGTCAGCTCAAAGGGAGTCAGGAACTCCACTGGAGGTCTGGTGGGTGGGTTGGCTCCAATCTTATCTGTTTACAGCTGATAACAAGGAAGAACCTTCCCCAGAGCCAGGGATCCGCTGCCCCACACCAGGCTTCCAGCCCTTCTCAGGCAGCTGCTTCCAGCTGGGCCTTGCTCACCAAGGGAACCTGGGCTTCTCTGCCCTGAAATGCAAAGCACTTTTGACAATACCTGTGGGTAAATGAGAGCACGTGACAGCCCTTTCCCTTCCTGGAGCCGCCTTAGGCAAACAGCCAGAGACAGGACATTCCATCCCTCTTTCTGGCTTCTCAATCCTGTCTTGCTGGCAAGACATTTCCTTTGCTTTTCCTACAGGTTCCTTGTAAAGTGTATATTTTCAGAACCTTATTTGACACAGAAGTTATCATGATTTCTGAGATTTGGTTTCAAAGACTCCAGAAAAAAAAAAAGGGGGGGGTGGGTGCTGAATAAATGAGATTGGCAAAGGTTGACACTTAATCTCTGAACCCCAGTTCAGTGAATCATTATCCTGCTTCTTGGGTATATTCAAAAGCGACCAGAAACAAAATATAATGAAAGGCAGTATGGGAGGAAATACAATATTGGATATTACTCTTAGAACGTGAATGTCATAAGAATGGTTTGAATTTGTTCGATATTATCATGTAAACTGAAGTTTTAAAATTTCTTATTCAAAGAAATATAGCCCTTTAGATTACACATGGTTTTATTTTAGCGTACAACCCATTTTGCTCAAAAGAGTTTCTCTTGATTTAGAGTCATATACTTTTATATATAACTAAACTATGCAGCGAACACGTAATAAGCATTAGGTTCAAAGGTATTTGCCATGCCTGCAATCACAGATGCTTTCCCGAAGGTGTGAGGGGTCCTCCTCCAGAGGGTTTGCCTAGCCAGGTCTCCTGGTCCCGCCGGGGTCCTGGCAGCTCACAGAACTAGTCCTTGGGAGGCCCACAGGAGCCAGGCTCACCAATTCCCTTGGCTCTATTGCTTTATTTATCAGGCTCTGGAGTAAATCTCACATTTAAAGGTTTTGAAAATTAAATCAGTTCAAAGACTATTTCATCCTTGGAGGAAGCAGGCTATTTCTAGAAAGCTGTTTTTATATTAAAATCACAGGACGATTTGCCCCAGAGTAGCAAAGCATCCTCTTCAGTGATGATAAAAGGGCCCAAGGCCTGATTTTGGCAATCACTCCCTTCTTGGATCCAGAGCTTAACATCAGACAGTGACTGGGGGAGTGCCCTCCCAACTCAGTAGTCTTCACACACTGAGCACCCTGTAGGCTTCTTCTCATAAAATTACCTATTGTTTGAAGATCTAACTGCCACAGGGACTTAAACTAAGCCTCCCTTTCCTCTCCTTTTACATGGGGGATCATAAAAACACTGCCCCAGAGGCATGCTGTATTAAATGGGTAACATATATGACACAGTCACCACTGTGCTGGGCAGAGACAAAAGGCTCAGTCTGTGGCAGGATCGATACATCCTCAGAAATCATTCGTGGGGAAATGTCCCCCTTTATATTCATGCTCCCCAGTCAAGACTTTTGGGACCCATGTCCCACCCAAGGGCTCCCTTCTCTAGCTGGGCCCTCACCACCATACAAGGGTATGCAGTATAAAATTTCCATTTTCCTGTGAAAACTTTTCTTGTTGGGATTTTAATTGTGTTTTGTGTTTTGTTTTGTTTTTTTTCGGTGAGGGAAAGGCTTGTTGCCTTAGCCACCAATGCTGACATCAGGGATTGACTACTCCTGTTGCTGTCAGCCCTGTTGACACCACTGAGGGGAGAATCAGCCCAAGTCTCCAGCCCTCACCCCACCCCCACCAGGTCTCACTGAGGGGACAGTCCTGGAGGCTCAGCATGGGCCCTGCCTGTCACAGCAGCTCACTGCCTAATGGGCTTCCACAGCAGAACGCAGAGATCTCACTGCTCTTTCTCACGGCCTAGAGAAGAAGAGGAAAGATCTGTTTCTTCTTTCCTTACCCGTCTTATGTCCTAATGCAGTTATTCCACGACCTGGAGTAAAGATCCCTTCAAATACAAAACCCGGTAAGACTCGACTTCCTTGGAAACAGAGCTACACTTCCTTGGAAATTGATCTTCAATGTACTGGAGAGAGAAAGAGACGCTTATACCAGACCTGTCAGTGGGAAAGGACCCGGAGACACCCTGTTAGGTAAGGACACACATCATCCAGGTCTCAGGGCCAAGAGGGGCATCCAAAAGCCTCCAGAATAAATAAACTGCAGTGCATGCAGAAATGTTCCTTCTCATTAAGGGACATGCACACTTCCTTGGTCTCAAAATCTAAGTCACAACAACATTAATTAAGTTACATCTACAAGTTACAAAATGACGGCGTAATATTTATTATACATTACATATTGAATATACTTATGTTTATATATGATTGCTTTACATTTTAAGCATATGTACATTTCTACTTTTAATATTTTAAACTTCAATAACTTTCTTTAAACATTCTAGGCTTCTGTTTTTTGTCAGTTTGGCATTACACATCATCCCCTTGGGAGACAACAGTGAGAACCATTTTATTTATACTCCCTTTTTATTGTATATTTATTGTTTGGTCATCATCAGTCTCATACTTTCAATGTTTTCAAAAGGTCATCTCGGAGAGAAACATAAGGGTAACAGAGAAGAAATCAACCATGCTACAGCCCAGAAGCTCCAGCAGAAAGCACTCAACTGGACCCTCAAGAACTCTGGGGAGGGGAGTGGAAACATGGATGGCTGGCGGCCCCAGGACTCAAGTCCCTACCTCAGGGCTTTCCAAGGTGGTAAGTGGCCTTGTCCCCCAAGTAGCTTTGTGGTCATCTCCGTCACTGGTCTCCCAGTTTAGGATCTGAGAGCAGCCTGGAATACATTAAGAATAAAATGAAAACCCCAACAGAGCTCATTTTATCATCTTCACATGATGAGGTACTATAAAGCGAAAACTGTGTCCGAGCGACGTGCTCCTCTGAAGTGAAAACAAGTCGTGCCCTTTCATGGATACAATGTTGCATTTGCACACAGGTCTAGAGGAGTGTGATGGAAACATATTCCAAGCAACTATCCCACTCCGAGCGCAAAGCGCACCTTGTTGGGCTTATTGCAGACCCTCCGGCTCCAGACCCCAGGCGATGATGTCCCTCTGGGGGGGACAAGGGGCTGGGAGGGGTTTCTGTCCTCATCGAAAGCTGTGGGCGGTCCTCGCCCTGAAGGCCTGGTTTTAATCACTGTCCAGGCAAGTCACAGCCTGACTTTAGCATATGAAAGGAAGGAAGAGGGAAAATGCTCCTTGCTGGGGCCAGGGTTCTCCTTGGGTCGCGAGCCGGTTCCTGACCCTCCAGGACCCCTGGCAGTTCGTTTTGAATCCTTAAGTTGACAAGCAGGGTTTACCTGAGCAAACACACATGGGCCTGGAGGTGAAGCGTCCTGCCTCTCGGGCAGGCTCATGAGGCGCTCTCGGGGGCGTCACCGCGAAGGGCCAGGAGGCAGCGGACGCCAGCACCCAGGTGTCCCCCCAGCAGGCGCGCCCCCGCCGCTGCGCGGCTGCAGGAAGGGCGGCACCTGCGCCCTGGGCACCTGCTGCGTAGGCCCCGCCCACCGCGCCGGCCGTTACTGCGAGCACGACGGGAGGCAGAGGTGTGTGCCTGCGGGAGCGGGCTGAGCGGTGGGCGGGGGGCGCAGCGGGGCTTGACCTTGCGGAGGGGAGCGGGCGCGGGCGGAGGGCGCGGGGTAGGGATTGGGGGCGTGGAGGGGCGGGCAGGGGCGCGGACACGAAGGGCTGGGGGCCGGGCGGGGCGTGGAGGGGCAGGGCGGGGCAGGGCGTGGAGGGGCGCAGACACGAAGGGCTGAGGGCCGGGCGGGGCGTGAAGGGGCGGGCGGGGCGTGGAGGGGCGCGGGTAGCGCATGCGCGCCGACCCCGCTGATTCTGCATCTCTGTCTGGGGGCCGGGCGGGGCGGGGCTTGGAGGGGCGCCGGTAGCGCATGCGCGCCGACCCGGCTGATGCTGCCTCTCTGTTTGGGGGCCGGGCGGGGCGGGGCGTGGAGGGGCGTGCAGGGGCGTGCAGGGGCGGGGCGGGGCGGGGCGCGGACACGAAGGGTGCGGCGTGAAGGGGCGCGGGTAGCGCATGCCCGCTCACCCCGCTGATGCTGCCTCTCTGTCTGGGGGCCGGGCGGGGCGTGGACGGGCGCGGACACGAAGGGCGGGGCGTGGAGGGGCGCGGGTAGCGCATGCGCGCCGACCCCGCTGATGCTGCCTCTCTGTCTGGGGCCGGGCGGGGCGGGGCGTGGAGGGGCGTGGACACAAAGGGCGGGGCGTGGAGGGGCGTGGACACAAAGGGCGGGGCGTGGAGGGCCGTACAGGGGCAGGGCCGGGCGTGGAGGGGCGGGGCGTGCGTGGAGGGGCGCGGAAACGAAGGGCGGGGCGTGGAGGGGCGCGGTTAGCGCATGCGCGCCCACCCCGCTGATGCCGCCTCTCTGTCTGGGGGCGTGGAGGGGCGTGGAGGGGCGGGGCGGGCGTGTAGGGGCGCGGACACGAAGGGCGGGGCGTGGGGGGGCGCGGACACGAAGGGCGGGGCGTGGAGGGGGCGGACACGAAGGGCGGGGCGTGGGGGGCGCGGGTAGTGCATGCGCGCCCACCCCGCTATTGCCGCCTCTCTGTCCACTCAGGGAACGCGGCGCCCTGATACCTGGAGCCTGGACCTGCCACCGCTGCCGCCTTTGCAGGTGTGTGTTCCCAGGTCTGCACTGTCTCCCCCGGCAGACGCCGGGCAGCTGCGGTAAGAGGAGCGCGTCCTGTGCGCACAGTCCCCGCTCGCAGGGCATTGCTCCTTGGTGCCCTCCAATGCGCAGAGATGTAGCTGGGCCAGGCGACAGGGAAATGAGAAGCTGGGTTGATCGACCACTTAGGAAAGTCACACTGGTTGCGAATCACATAGCATATTATCATTATTATTTAAGGTGGTTCCTAGGTTTACTCTGCCCTGACTGCTGCGTTTAAGAGTGTTTTCCAAACGGTGTCCTTGGAGTGCGCAGACTTGGGGGAGCTCAGCAGCTGGTAAGCAGAGCCAAGCCTGGCAGAGAGGTTGCCCACGCGATCTCCAGTGACTGCCCTACACCACGCCAACACCATCTCCTTAACTTTGAAATGAGGAGGGCACCAGAGCAGGACGGGGACAGGTGTGGATGGCCAGGCGCCGCCCTTTAGAGCCAACCAGGCAGTGCTCCCAGAGAAGGAAGGCACCTGGTAACCACCCTCAGACCTGCCAGGCATAGGAAAAGCCAGGGGGGTGTGGAGAGCACATGGGGTGAACACTCATCTGTGAGAATTCTGAGCAGGGAGCAGACTCAAGGCACATGCTTCCCTTGTTAAACTCAGGAACACGAATTTCCTGGGTCAGAAAACAGACTTAGGAAAAGGAGGCACAGCATTTCCATCCCACAACCTGCACCGTCTCCCGTCTTCCGCACGCTCTGCCTGGACTCCAGGGAGAAGCACAGTGAATGAAGGCACACCCCTTCAGCCTCTTCATCAGCCCTGGGGGCCTTGGCTGTGCAGGGAGCAGTCAAAGCTCCCAGACCCCCTTTTCTGTTCCTCCGTCCACCTTCTTCGACTCTGGCCGAATCCCACAGTTGAAGGGGATTTACTTCCTCATATCACAGCCCTTCAGCAGCACTCCCCACCCCTCTGTCCACTGTCAGGACTGCAGGGGAGGGGCAGCACCACGGGGGTGGACCCTCCAAACCAGCGTCCTGCCCCCGCCTTCCTGGTGGGCCCAGGAGTGGAGGAGCGCACTTAAGGACTGCTCAGCTTCCAGCCCACCTTCCTGCCCCTCCCTCCCTGTGCTGCAGCCTTGGGGAGGATGAGCTGTCAAGACATGCTGAATGAAGGTACAGCCCATCAGATATTACATCAAAGAGAACATGCAGATGGAAAATTAGCACAAGAAAACATGGACAAACTCACTTGCCATGAGGGAAATGCAAATGAAAACCTGAGAGTTATCATGACTACCCACCTGTTAGGACAGCTGGTTAATATAAAATACAGTACTACATTTCGGGTGGGAATGTAAATGGAAGAGCAACGCTGGTAGGACAGTTTGATAGGTTCTATAGAAGTGAAACATAAACCCTATAACCTCGCAAGCACTTTCCTGGACCTTCATCCCAGAAATGAAAATTTAAGATCCCATAACTCACTCTGCAGAATGGTTCACTGCAGCTTTATTTGTAATAGACGAAAGACTAGAAAGAAACAAAGGGGTGAAGAGTGCCTCTGTGAAGGGACGTTTCTGAACTATGGCAGCTTTCTGTGAATCTGTAAATCGACCCCTCTACCTCCCTACCTCTCTGTAGCAGGTGCTCCACCTGTCAGCACACCTCAGAATAGTCCCTAAGACTAGCAGTGCCACCCTGGCTCTCTGGATCTCCAAGTATCCCTAACAGCCCCAGAACCCTAAGATGTGGGTGTCAGGCAGCAGTGAAAGAAGCAGGAGGGGTCTGGGGCTGGTCTGTTACTGGGCAGGTGCTCGGCTGTGATGCCCTGTGACCCTCAGGGGCAGAAAAGGCCAGGTGTGGGACAGAGACAGCACGCAGAATGTTGTCCTCCCAGAGCTGATGTTTTGCCTTGGGAGAGGAAAGGCCGGCACGAGGATCTGGCTCAGAGTGTCCTCCCCTTCTTCTCTCCCTCCCCTTGGCTGCATCTAACCCCTGTGCTTGAGGATCACCTCCCCAACCCCACCTTCTCTGGCCTCCTGCTAAAAAACCACCACCCCAACCAAGTTGCCCCCATTTTAGTGATGAGGGAAAGGGGATTCAAGAGGCGAGCAACTCTGGGGTACAAGCCACCCAGGAGCCTGATGTTTGTGGAAACCAGGGTATATTGAGCAGGGTGTGAGCAGCTAAGCACAGGAAGTTCCAAGTGCTAGGATCACATAAGCGACCCATATCCCCCTTACATCGAAGTGACCTGGACTCCACCAGCCTCCACACTGGCTCCTGAAAGCAGCGCTCTCAAATTAGCTCAGACACTATCCATCTTAGAAGTCAAGCCTCCCACTTCCTAAGGCCCCCAGATGTTCACTTCCCAACCCCAGAAGGAGCTTCTGCATGGCTCCATCCATTTATGCCCAGCTGCTATGAGCACACTGCCTTGACTGAGCTCAGCCCAGGGGCCACAGCTCTAGGCTCTTCCCATGCAACTTCAGCAGGAGCCACAGGTGGGCCCCAGCTCACAGGAATTTGCAACTCACCTGAGCTTCCAGCCCACATCCCTGGAACAACATTTCTCAGGATGGGCCATCCTAGAATCTCACCTTCCTACTCCCTTCTGACACCCAGTGTCCACTTTATCATAGAACCTTGGTTCTGCCTCTTGGAAGGGTTCCCTTTCCTTCATACCCAAGCAGACCCTACAGTCTGCAAGGTGCACCTATTCCCACCTCTCTCGCACTGTGCCTTACTCTGTGCAAACAGCCAGGCACCTAAAGCACCCAATCTGAATCCCGCATGTCTCCCCCAATTCCTGTGGTGTTTCTTTGGACAGAACAGAGCCCACCATCCTGGCCCCTCACACCACTCTGCCTACCGTCCAGACCCCACACCTTCTCACCGAGAGACAGGGAATGGTCCCATGCCTCTGGACTCCCTCACCCTGGTTCCCTGGCCTTGTAACATTTGCTCTTCAAAGGCCTCTATCACACAGGAACCTGTTGTGGAGAAACACATGCTGTCATGGCCACAGTTTGAAGCCAAAACATCAGTGTCCAACCTCAAGTTTAGCAACAATGTGCTGGGAGGTCTCAGCCAGAAAGGCTTTATGCAGAAATACCTGGATATAGACTTACTGCTTCTCCTTTTCTTCCAATAAGAACGGTGCGGACCTCAACAGCTGTGCTTGAGATCCAGAAATAAGTATGTCTGAATGTTTTGATGAGGCAGGCAGGTTATGCTGTGTCAGCTGGGCATGATTCACCGACACTTTCTCAGAGCCATGGAGACCCCTGCCCAGCATCAGGAGAACGTGATGACTCATAAGGGACAGGAGTGACTGCAAGCCAGGCTGCACATTACAATCCCCCAAGGATGGTTTTCATAAATTACTCATTCAGAAATGATTGTTTTTTAATTGTTTTTTTAAAAATAACTATTTTTATTATTAATTAAAGTAATATTCACATTTGTACCAACCCCCAATCCTGGACATGACCACACTTTTCCCAACTCCCCTTCTATGCTATCCTGGGTGGGTGCACAGGCGTCACACTCTGTAAGGCAGAAACTTCCAGGAAGACTTTCATTTGGATGAAGAACCTCTCCACCTCATGGAGCTGTGCCTGCCTCTCACTGCACTGCTTGGCCTCTTGTTTTAAGACCTCCACCTCTCCCTTGAGGATGGAGCACCTCTCCTTCAACTGGAGGATCTCAGACAATGTCTCCATAGTTCTCCAGGCCTGGGTCTCCCCAATGCCCTCCCATCCCCCCTTCTCCTTTCCTGCCCTGAGTTTTAATACAAAGTCTTCAAACCACTGGAC